CACACAGACTGTGAGCCAATCCGAATGTACGTCACCAGACTGATTGGTGTCACCTGTCTACCTACGTCCGCACGCACTGGCGGTCTCCTGTACCTGACTGCCTGCAAGCTCGGCCAGTCGGAATCTCGCTAATGCCGGCATTGCCGGAGTAAATCCATCGGTTCACGCGGACCACATAGTAACCGGCGGTGTTAGAGATGAGTCAAGTTTGTATGGCACCCGCATGGCCTGCCGCCGGCCCGCTTCGTTTCGTAAAACCGTGTCTCAGAACTTATCCGTTGTGACCACCCAACAGTTCGTAGTTGATTGGCATGGAACAGATTGGGCAGTTTCCTGAAATATGCAGCACTGATTATGTTACCTGAGTTACCAACTGACCTTCCATTTTAAGTTGTACTGTACGGTGAAGAAATGCTACAGGCATACAAAACGGTGCTTAGTTGAACGAGTTTCACGGACGTCATTGGAAATTGTGATGTTACCGCTATGCCAGCTTTTGATCAACTGACTCCGAACAAGTGCCCTATTTTCGCATATCGACCGCAGACACTCGGTTTAGTACGACATTCCTATACCAATAATAAATGATGATTTACACCTCGGTAGCATGCAAAAGATAATTTAGACCGACTCGGTGTAGCCAGGCTTCTTCTGTCAAATGCATAGTGTTGATCTGATTGAGGCTACGGGTGAATAAGCAACCAACTATTTATGGACATTTTCTAGCTGCCCGACAAAGTTAAAGAACTACTCTAAGCTCATCGTCGTATTCTATCCTAAATTTAACTTCTCCCGAATTTGTTCACTGTGGATAGCGGATAGCAAAAAATGTAAAGCCATCGTTTCTTAGAACTTAGTAACTGGGATTTTACTATACCGACATTATACTAGGGATTGCTGAATCATAGCAATAAAGTTAATTAAAATTTCTAAAAGGTCATGATGCAAAGTTAAAAAGGAACACCGAGGTGTGTGTCCGATCGTGAACCCCATATATCACTGAACGCGTCTAACGCGCTGTGAACTGTCGCCGATGTGGAATACACAGCAATGTCTTCTACTTCCACCCTCCAGAAATAGTCGCAGAAGATAAACTTTGCGGCTCACCAAGAGTACCGCGTTTTGGTGAAAAACGGATAATAACCCCAAATAATACAAAAAGGTTCGTTCCCAGAGGTTTCAGGTAACAGGTGTCGGTTTCTCAGGAGAAGTATTAAAACGTTTTGCGACTATGTACAACATTGTAGTAACTAAACCCCGCCGCCGGAATGTTAAGCATAACCCGTGGTCCGGTGGACGCAAGAAAAAACACGGTTGATGCGTTTAACCATTCAATGACAGCTTCCTTCATCAGTGTCCAGAAGGGCCGAAACGGAGTGCCAATGAAACAAAGAAAGCAAGGCAGATCAAAGTGTCGGACAATTCCGTGAGCATTTGTGTTCACTATCGATAATGCAGTGTACAGGTGACAATAATAGTGAAGGCCTTTGGGTATGAATTGAAAAATAGAGATATTTCCTTCATAAAGCCGCTGCATTGAACGATATGGAAGAATTCTTGAAAAAATGCATTAACTGAAACTGTGAACGCGCATTCATGGATTAAAGCACACATGTTGTAACTTGAAGTAGAAGCCCAAGATGGTATTTTAACAAATTTTGATTTATCTTAGAGTGCGATAGACTATTCCTGCATAGGGACAGACGAACAGGTGCACAGTTGTTGAGTAATACAAGGGAGTGCTTTTGATGCTGTAGTGCTTCCATGTTCGCAGACGACATAAAGGTCGTTTAGTTTCACAGAGATACGGACACAGGAGATTTTAGGAGGCATTCAAGATGATCTTTCATCTTTCAGAGATTAGTGCCATTTGTGGCAAATGTCGCTTGCTGCAGATAAATGAAATATCACATAGTATTCCAGCAAAAAGACTTGCTCTGCAAAGTGTGCACCTTTCTCAAACACATCACTATGTGACTTAGATCTGCGATACTTGGATATAAACAATTTTTCAGCATAGTATGATTACCAAATATCAGAGGACAGCAAGACCGTTAGATTCATATTTGTTCATTCGCATTCTCTAAGTTTCGGCTCCGATTATACAGAGTATACATGCTGTCAGGCAATTTATGTCGCTCAATAGTGTGCGGAAGCATGCAGAATTCGGACATAATGGCTGTTAAGCGAATGCAACACCGACTTATTAAAAATATAATTAAATACTCCTCGAAATAGAACGAGAAGTGCGGCAAATTGCATGAGTTTGAGAAATCTGTCAGGAATACCTTATTGTGCAAAACATGACATATATGTTACGGATATCTCAGCATTGGGAAACGGTATTAGAAAATGACATCGATAACGCATAAGAGCAAACTGGATATTTATCGCATCTACGTTAACATTCGTGAAAGCGAGTTTCTACAATATGGACATGATGCAACAGTTAGATCTGCATGTTTTGTCTTGCGGGAAAAAGGTTACAGAAGCCTATGACAAGTTACGGTGAGAAGCATAAAATCTTCCGCAGCCAAACTAGTATTGTATCAATTTTAGCTTATTTGGTTTCTTGGTATCATTCCGTTACCGAAAACGGGGAGAGTGGGCAACTGATGTTCAGCAGGTCAGACGATTCAGCTAATCTAATGCACTCATACTCGTTTGGTCTGAGCAATACAGCCGTCGAAATGATGTCCACTCCGGGTTGATGATTCCTTTAACCATTGGTGTTGCATCGACGGAGATTGCAAATAATGCCACCACAAGCTGCAGTTAACGCTAAGCTCCCGCACTTCCTGAAACACGTGGCTGCAGTGGTAAGCGGACGCTCGCTGTCTTGCATACAAGGCGTTATGGAAACAGTCCGGAATACACATTATAGCAGAGAATGTAAATAATGCATCACAATTAAAAACACGAATTTGCACTAGCAAACAAGTCACAGGACGGCAATGAGACGGTGTTTATACGGATAATTAATTGTTTGTTTCATTTTTTACTGTTCAACAATGCAAAAGCTAATGATTCAACGCGGGACAACTGTACCCGGTAATTCACGAAAGCAGACCTACGGAAGGTATTATAGGAATATGCGGAATCCATTCTTCAGCACTTCTCCAAAGCATACTCAACTGCTTCCATCCCTCAACACATAGACTGGGTGATACTATCACCAACCTGCTGCCGTCGCATTGGTCTAGCCCGGATTTGAATCAGCTTAGCAACAAAGGGTAGAGTACACGTAGTACAAACGCTGACACTCCTTTCGGAGTGTTGTAGAAGCATGGGATAGTGATATATCTGAGGGAAAACATTGTAGCACTTACCCTGTGATATTTAAACACAAAGTACGTTTGCCACAGAACCCAAACGAGACGAAGTGCATGTTTTGGGATCCATAAGAAACTGTGGCAAAACGGATCGCTAAGTTCCCAGGCAGAAGATAGACCGAATCCGTCATTGATCATCACCCCGAGGCCAAATCCTGAATCAAGGGAAGCAAGTAAAAGGTGTGAACTTTTAGCATCATTTTAGCAAACGAACATACCTGAAAATTCCCATATACTTCAATCACCCTCTTATACCGCTGTTTTCAGCTCATGTCTTAAGAAATGTCCTTGGATGAAAGGGCATCGATAGGAATATGCGGCAAATCATAAAATGTTACTTGACTACCCTTGCTAACTGCAGTAGTGGCCAGCCGGCCCAAAACAGAGGCGAAACTAGTCGAATGTGTCTCTTTCGATCGTTTCATATGCCGAATATTTCCTGCATCACTCGTGGAAAGCCAGTGTAGCAAACAAGCTCGTCTTCGAGGATTCATCGTCAGGCTAAATACATCTGTTCGCTCACCAGCCTCAGGTCTGCGATGTCGCTGGCTGACGTTTACACCGAATTGCATGGACGATAGGGCGCAACTGGTGCTGCATAAACGCCAATCGTTCCGTTGAACATATGCATTGAGGACGCTTGAACTATACTTCACCGAAATAGGCTGCTCCTGTAATTCACCTACGTAATTGTGTTCGATTCCAAATATTATCCTTCTGTTCAAGGACTCCACAACAAACACCTTGAAGCAAGTGTGAAATCGCACTTTTGATGCTTCTCTCTTTCGCAGATTTACTAACGTCAGGGTCAAACCGCATCCATTTTGTTTTGAAACAATGACAGCCCTGAAGCATTGATAAGCACTTCGGACTGAACTTATATGCAACGTTTTTTCGTTACACATCCTGCGCAACACGCTAAGGTGACTTGCGCTATGGCTTCGGACAGACAGGCCCATTTGTGGTCACACTACTCAGGCGACGCTTGTAAGCAACGAAAAGGTTGAATAAATCAGATTCTAGCAAATGAGATCAAAATTGTGCCTCGGACTGTTGAGAATAAAAATTCATTTATTTATTTCTAATAGATGACAGCTAGTGGGACTTTCATTTTGGAGCTCATGAAAATAACCCAAAATTTATCTCTATTATCTGTTGTATTCATTTCAACCATTTACTTCGTGTCCATTTATTACATATGCGTGGCAAACAGTTAGAAGTAAAACCGATTCTTCGTCGACGAGCTGATGTCACTGACCTCAGTTGAACCAGAAAAACCAAATCCGAAATTTCAATGTGGTAGCGGACCGAGTGTTGACCTCATTAATCAGTAATAATCTGGTTCATGTGTGCCGCTGTTGAACTGAGCAGGTTACAAAGCTGACATCAGCGCTGGAGAGTCCTTAGATGGCATACCGGAATTTCGATCAGCACAACTGCCTTGCATTAAACACGCGGATACGAGTTTCCTTGCTTACCCTAATGTAAGCACAAGAATGCAAAAGCAGAGAAATTTTAGTGTTCACTCTGACAGTATGGCTCGGACTGTACCTGTGTTCGACTGTGGAGAACGTGGTTGACTGATTCCATCCTATAAGGATAAATTTCAGATATCAAAGTCATTATTTCTTAATCCCGAAGTGCTATCAGCCTCGACTGGCTCAAAAATATGTCTTGTAATGAATTGTGAATATATATTCAGTAGTGCTGAGAATGGTTTGGACAATAACATGAATAGTTTATTAGTTCGAAGGCCCATTGCTAGCTCTACAACAAAAAGTCCCAAAGTCGTTCAATACATACAATCGAGGCATGGTGTGATATTCAGGTTCTAAACAATGGCACTTATAGATGGAACATCTTGCAGAGGGAAAAACAGTAATGGGAGTCAGAATCTTAAGTTACTAGCATCCGGTCAGACGTCACGGTGATAAGTGGCTCAGCTGCCGTTTGGCTAGTAGGCGTTACGCGTTGCTGACCCGAACACGGGTTTAATACGGGTTAAACTGCTAAAGTGTAATAGGCCTCCATACCATGGTTATGGCGTATATTGTAAACTATGGAAAAGGTGTCAGCAAATGTAAGTTCACCTTGGTAGACTATCCGCCATAAGGGATGATGATAAATGGGACGTATGTACAAACCATGTCGTCTCCTGTTGAACACGTGCAACAGGTGAAACCTGTTCTGGGAGCTGAGCTGCAGCGAAATACCTAACAGAAACGCCGGTTTAGCCATGGGCATTCCACAGACAGACAAAAAGAGGACACGAAGTGGAAAGAAGCGTGGTGTAGTCCAGATATTTAGGCGACTAACAATCGTTGAAGCGTGCCGGTGATAAGTGGCTCAGCTCCGCTTTGTCTGGTAGGCGAGTCGTGTTGCTAACCCGAGACTCTGGAATAGCTACTGATGGTTGCATGGAAAATGTCTAAACATACAAGGTCGTGAAACACGATACTTTGCCAAATTCGTCATCTATGACAGTATACAAATAGTATGCATATTAGTAATGCAAACAGATTTTTGATAGAAGCCCTCCTTGCCTTCGCGTACCTTGGAAAAAACTAAGTGACATAAACTGTTTTGAATCGGAAAATTACGCTTCGATAACTTTGAGAACGAACTGTTTTCTACGAAAACTCGAGACAACTGAGACATCTAATTTTGTGGCACGTAACAAAGTTCAAACCTCACAGTGGACGATGAAAAACCACCGCAAGGATCTTTACACAAAGCAGACGTGGACGCAAGCGGTAGTACAATTGAAACATGCAAAATTGATGACAGCCAATTGTGGTGGCATTGAAAAGTAGCCAAAATAAGACCGTACCAACTGCACCAAGACGCATGTACAAGTTCATTCCTTCCTCATGCCATGTTAGGCATTCGTTTCTTGCGCCATCGGATGCCAATGGTGCCGAGTGAGATTGTGTACCATCGAGATGATCGCTGTGGTCAATGGACTTTGTCAGCCCAGGAGTTTCAAAGGTGGGATGGGACACTTGCTTCTGTTCAAGTTGAGACAATAGAGAAGAACAAAACGAAACTAACAGACAGGAGCTGAAATAAAAGTGTTTAGAAAAATTGGGTTGACCGTTAACGGAACAGCAAGATGATTTAGAACATGGTTATATGTTGGGTTGAAGCGCACAGGATAATTGCTGTTCATGACTAAAGATGTAAGAAGTGAATTGTGTGCAAAAAGGCGTATAGAAAGACGTCATACGTGCCTTTAAAATCTCGCAAAACGGGAGAAAGGTGAAAGATTCTAAAAACTGACTGTGGATTTTTCTCATTGTAGTGATGCTCAACGAAATGAATCTTGGCGAATATTAGATGAATGTGGGTGTCACAAAGATTTCTTCGGAAGCAGGAAGAGCTTTTGCCTTTTGCTTCAGTTGAATTTGGTGACGTCCACTACAAGCCATCGGCTTCAAAGTAAACACGCGGTTTGAAGGATCAACGTAATTTGTCAAGCATGACAGTAATAAATTGATAAATTATAAAAGAACTTTAAATTTGACACTAAATTATAAACTAGGCAGTGTAAAGATATTCCTCATTGTAGAACTTAAAAGGTTGCTGCATGTACGTACCACTGCTGTTAAGTCGTTGTTAAGTCAAAATCGGTAACTATACATCTGAAACCACTACAATCTCTAGTGAAGTGATTCAAGGTAGCGTGCTAGGTCCGCTTTTATTCTTAATCTATTTCAAAGATCTTCTTGATGAAATCTCGTACGGGAAGCTGTTCCTTTTCTCCGATGAGGTTAAAATTGTGTATTGTTCCGCCCCTGGGCAATGTAGTCCTAACTTAGCCTATATTCAGTCCGACTTGTCCGCATCGGAGCACTGGAGTAACTCCTGGAAGTTGCACTGACAAGAGTAATCTATTTTATTACGGCTGTGGCCCTTCTCTGAACTTCTTTACATTAAACGATACCCCTATTCCTGTGTGTGGCGAAGTCCGAGATCTTGGTCTAAGATATCCTGCCTCGTTTAATTTTTAGAGCATGTTATATTTTTGCAGGTTTCTGCCAGAAAAGTGATCGCCTACATAAGTCGAGCTCTTATTTTGAGGGATTCCAGGCTTCAAGCCTTTAAAATATGTGTTAGACCGAAGTTTGAGTACTGTACGATAGTGCATAGTAATCTGAGAAAAGTGGACATTATAGCACTAGAAAACATTCAACGATCATTCACAAAGAGGTTTTTGAACATGCCTAATACTATGACATACCGTGAGCGTTGCGAGACACTAAATCTGGAGCCGCTATGGCTACGCAGACTCAAACTTAATCTGTGCTTTCTATACCGCCTAATATTCGGGCTAAGCTTCACTGCTCAGCCACAACTCGAGTTTCAAACTCGTATGCGCTATGAACTAAGGAACAGCGAGTGCACAGTGCAAATACCAAAGTCTCGCACAAAGCTCCGCTCAAATTTTTTCTCCGTAAAATATGCGTTAATATGGAACAAACTTCCACTGAGTATTAGAAACTGCACTGACTATCCGCAATTCAGACGCATGATTAATGTTCACCTGACTGTTGCAAATATCTGGTTAACACTAAGCCAAAAGGTGACTCTAGATGATTTGTATGAGAAAGGTGCTGGATACGTATGAAAGTCACCATATCCTCTATTCGTTTCAATAATATAAGATTACCTACATATAGTTGCATTCTTTAGTATATATTTGAGAACGAATCTTACTCCTATCAATCCGTCTAACCAATTCTGTTTTCTCCTTTAACGCACTGGTTCGTGGATGCACTACACCTTTCAAGCTGATGTCTCTGTACCATCGTCGTTATTCGCCAAGATTTTCCATCAAATTGTGATTGCCGTGTCGGCAAGCGTTTGTATTCATTATCATGTTGTATAATTCCTCATACTTTATCTTTCTCTTTGTTTCACCGTTGGTCATGACTACGCTGATCTCTTGTGGTGACGGATTACAGTTTACAAAATAAAAAAGTAGACCCATGCAAATCTTATCACTTCTGACTCGCTGGCTTAAAAGAAAAAAGTGCCATACTTGATTGATCCGCATGCCAGAACGGGTTGAGGCTTCATCGCCCATAATGTATGCATAAAACAGCCCTTAAAAAGACATTTGATACCCAGTTCTGATGGCCTATTTACTATCTTGCCACACAGGCACAGAGCCAATTGGAGCATGGAAGTGCTGGTGAAACCCATCGTGGAAATACCCTGCATGGAAGCAAGTCTCCTGGGGACAGTTCCATGGATGACCGTATTACTTTAATGGAATTTTTCGCAAAATCTAAATTTAATATTGTTCCCAGTTTCTTTATCTCTCTACTTTTTCCAAACTGCTAATCACTTCAAAAATAATTATGGGAACCGTTGATCAAAAGACGAAAAATTAACTATATTATGCGAGCACGTTGTACATGTCGATAAGACCACACAATTGGTTTGTGCCTCGCACGGGTGAGGAATAAAACGTTTATTTAGTTTTTAAGTCCATATTTGGCTTGGGGTGATGATTAAATTAACTTGATGGATTGTATCAAAATCATCACGCCCGAGACTCCGAAAGAGGACAAACCGGTTGTGCAATGCTGTGTTAGGAGTGAGAAAAACTGAAAATTCTTCATTCTGATGAGATCTCTGGATGCAAATGAGTGATATTTCCTCTAAAGCAAACTTAGATCCAAATTGTGAATGCGATTTGCAGTACAAACCCATTGCGGGTAATTGGAAATCCGACAATCCATTTTGGACTGCTGTGCCAGGCGTTGTTCAAAGAGCCCAGTGACCAAGGGCTTAAATGTTAAATGTCAAGCACTACTCCTTGGGATCCATCTTCAACCCCGGCTGCCTCCCTGTGTGAAGAGCCTAGTCAAGAAAGAACCTGATCATAGAGTGTAGTGTAGAAAGCGAGTTCCATCGGAAACGTTCCAATTCAAACTAATCTTAGTCCGAAAGCAGGTTTCTGTACACAGTCTAAAGGACAGTTTTGAATTCGTAGAGCTCGTACGTGATCAAAATGTTATGGATCTAACCATGTGTTCCCTCGACGTTGCTTCATTATTCACTAACGTGCCACTATTTGAAACTATAAATTACATTTGCGATTATATTGATCAGAACCAGATATCCATTGGCATTCCTACAGTTTGCCTAAAGGAACTGTTGCTCCGGTGCACCTTCAATATCCAGTTTTTGTTCAACGGAGAAATATACCGACAACACGATGGGGTTGCTATGGGCTCCCCACTGGGGCCGTTTCTTGCTGACGTGTTTATGGGTATGCTAGAACAGAGCAGGTTAAGATCGGTTATCGAAAGCCTTAGCCTCTACTGCCGTTACGTCGATGACATCTTTATATTGCTCCATTCCTCCAGAAACATCGAGAACCTTACTTACACATTTAACCAGGCACACACAGCGCTAAAGTTTACATCTGAAGTGGAGGAAGATAGATCTTTTCATTTCCTCGATGTGAACATGAAGCGACTCGATGATGGTTCCCTACAGCGTGGGGTGTATAGGAAACGTACCTGGAACGGACAATACACGAATTTCTACAGTTTTGTTCCACTTAGATCAAAACGGAACTTGATTTTCAGTTTAACGAGTCGGGCGGAAAGAATTTGCTCGAATGACACATTATCTGAGGAACTACAGCGCATTCGCTTAACCCTGAAGGAAAATGGGTACCCGGATGGATTCATTAAAGCCAACATGGAGCCAAGGAGGAAATCTCCTGTAACCCTCACAGCCGAAAAGAAACCCCTTTTTCTACAATTACTGTACAAAGGGGAAATCGTAGCTGAAGTTCTAAGTCGTCGTATTTCCCGCGCTCTCAGGCACACCTTTCCAGCAGCCAAAATGCAGATTCACTTCACCAGTAGCCCGATGGTGAAAACTAACCCAAAAGACAAAAGGCCTGTCCACGCCAATTCCATGTGTGTTTACTCATTCACCTGTTCTTGTGGTTCAGGGTACATTGGCCGTACGACGAGGCGCCTGTCTGATAGGGTGAGAGAACACCATCCGGCCTGGCTTGCGACTGGGTGCCGAAAGCTAAGTAACTCATCCATCGCCACGCATCTTGCTGACACGGACCATTCTCCCAATCTAGCCGAGGCATTTAAGGTCATCTATCGACCACCTGCAAATCGATCAAAGTGCGTTCGCATGCGCTTACTAGAATCGGCGGAGAGTTTAGCGA